CTTATGATTGAAGTGAATTCAACATTTAATGAACTCTAAGACAAGGGAGCTCAAAACCTGAGTGAGATCTGACAGTTAAACGTGTTGTGAATATACTGTATTTGCATGACACAGGTCAGAAACGTTACAAATTTCCATTTTTTATCTCCTTTCTGTTGAGATTCAAATGGCAAAGGTGGAGTGATGTTATCCTCTAAAACCAGTCTAAATATTCTGTTTTATTCACCTTTAATCATTCACTTTCCCCCAAAATATCTTTAAAAAGGGTATTTTCATAGCCAGCTCTAGACTAGGCTCCCATCTACCTCTTCCATCTTTAAAAAAGTGAAACCCTTTCTTAAAATAGATTCAAATTATTTTGATGCCCTTGAAATTTTTATGGGCTTTGCAGGAAAAAGGCTGATGAACCACTGCAATATTGTCAGCTTTGGGGAAGTAATGCACATTATGTGAATTTTCCTGGTTAAGGAAGTTCCTAGGATTCATCAATTTCAAAGGGCCCGGAAACCTAAAAAGTTAAGAACCAAAAAAAAAAAAAAAAAAAGGGTTAAGAACCACTGCTAAAATGAGTTTGTACCCACCACTGTAGCTAATTATTAGTAATTTTGTTCTGCAGCTACCCTATCCCCTATACAACTCTTACTTCAGATAGTACCATACAAACACAAATGTTACTAAATGTCCTTTACTGGATCAGAAGGAAAAGGGGGGTGGGGGGGGGCAAAGAAAGGAAAAACATTAAACTTTTCTAAACATTTAATTCAATAAGAAAGCTAACAGAAAACAGAGTTTTGGAGCAATTAAAGAACAAAAAGATTGGGTTTTGTGGTGAATAAACATTGCATTTATTTTTCTTGGTTAAGTTGAAGCAGCAGTAATTTTTACTATTATCTCCCTTGCTGGAAAAATCAAATGATCTGAAGAAGTAAAGGTTGGTTCTTGCTGGCTTATGTGATGCAACAGTTCTTAATAATATACAGCTAGGCTCAAGAAGACCTTCCAACGGCTTTTAAAATAATTTAAGAGTAATCTTCTGTGTCTTTCTCACTGGCATCTCCCCACCCCTCCATCTCCCAATTTTTCTAATTTTTGGCTCACTTTTATATAGTGTCTATTGGCCTTGGTGAGGTAATGCACCCAAAAAATGGAATTGGCCTGCTTAAAGAGAGTGAGAGAAAGAGAGAGACAGAACCATCACCAAGAGGGTAGCAGAGGAAATCAAGCAACATTTCGTGCTAGGTGAGGGGAAAAAAAAGTCACTTTTTGTTGTATCAATTCAAGCAATATTTTTCCCCATCTAATAGGTTGTCAACTTCTGTTTAAATATATCTGAGTTTTTCTAGGTGGTGCACTCCTACATGCTGGTAATATAATCAGGAAAATTTAAGAGCAGAGGCCCCTAAGTTAACATAAAAAGCAGGTAAAAGGGAAAGAATCTATGTAAAGGTGAACAGAAGTAGAAATGTTCATTTGACAACAAAGTGGAACCAAATGGCTCTCTTCACTTCTGTATGGCATTCTGATTATCAGTAATAATACTTGAGACTTATTATTCTGACCAACAAAATAATACAGTAATTTAGTCCCAACATTTAGAAAATGTATTCTTAAATATTTCAAGCATATTCTAAAGTAATGTATAACTTAAAATACAATCCAAAACTCATGGCACATTATCGAAAGAAATAAAGTAAAATTAGGCTTCTAAAGTTTTAAACTATAGAAAGTCGTCCTATGACTAAAAGAAAAACTAATCAGAAGACTCAATTACACTCAATTACAAAATGGTCACCTCACCAGCAATATCTGCAAGCAAAAGTATGAAACACTTTAAGGTTCCTTCCAAGAAAAGCCTCAAAAGAGGAACATTTATGTACTGAAATATTTACATATTTTCTACTACGAAATCCTAACAATACTGTACAAATAACAAAACACCATAGGCTTACACCTCTAATTCAAACTTTATGAATTAAAAGTATACCCCATGAAATTTAAAATGAAAAAAAAAAAAAAGAAAACCTGTTAGCAATTTTGTCAGTTCTTTCAGAAATCACACACTGAATTCCCATATGAATTTGTCCAATAAAGATGGGCAGTAAAATTATTTATAAAAACTAAAACACACAGTAATCATTTGGCTAAAACTAGTCATTAACACTGGCAGTGTTTTCAAAAAACAGGATTTTTTCTTAAATAAGATAAATTTAGCTATATATATATTTTTTTCCTTTTTTCTTTTAAATGCCTTAAACTCAAACTCCACCAGTATTTCCCGAGTTGGAGAATTCTAAGAACTCCATGACCTATTTCTCTGACTGCTGTCAGCAGGAGGAGTAAAGGCCATTTGTTGAAGGTATTCAAGCATAATGAATAGAACTGAGCCTCTTCCGTCCAATTTTATTACTATGCTAACCAAAATTTTCTTCTGGATGAGATTTCTAACTTTGTTTGAAGAAAATAAATGGAAGAGTTTTCAAGTGAATAATGGAAGTACAAATGAGCTGGTTAGGGCAGAGGCCCGCCTTATTCAGGAAAATTACCTGGCAGAGAGTAGTAGGAGGGCTGTAGCTATTTTTTTGGATGTGTGATTCAGTTACAATATTAACATACATTAGATTATAAATTGTACTCAAATGTAAACTCCTTGAGGGCAAGGACCTCTTCATGTCTTTATAGTTCCAAGATACTTGGCCTAGAACAATGTTTTACAAATAACACTCAATACATCTTGTGGAAAAGCTGGATTAGTGGAACCAGTATGTGGCCAAATGGATGGTCATTAAAAGTGTTGGTATAATTCAGATTATTTGAATTATGTACTTGATTTAGTCTTTAATCCAAATTTCTTAATGTGGTTAAAAAAATAAGTGGCTGGAGCAGTACACTAATTGCATAGTACTCTAGAAGCAAGCATTATAATAAAAAATGTTTGAAACAGTTCTAAAGCTGAATAAGAAAAATACCACTTGGATTTTTTGAAAGTTAATGCTAATATTGAGAACTGCTTCTGTTATCTGTAAAAGTATATTCCTGAAGAAAGTGTAAATTAAGAGAGTTTACTTTGCTAAAACAATAAGAGATCAGTAATTTTTTTTTAATGTTAGGGTAACAAGAGTCTGCTACACAAAATTAATTTCCTATTAAAAGCAGCAAATTGAGTTCATCCTATGAAAACACTTAAACGAAAGTACATTTTGAATGGTATATATCATACAAGGACTTTCACCCTCCAAAGGAAATAATATACAGCGTATCAAAAACTTTTGAGGCATTGCCCTGAGATGCTAATTAGCACACAAAAGGGGGTTGGGAGGGCAAGAACTTAAGTGGTACAAAAATGAAGTGCACAACAGAGGTGCAAAAGTGCCTTTTAAAAGTGTGGTTGGTTCCCACCCCCACCCTTACCCCCAGGAATCAAGAACACACACAGTCTGCAATTATAATGTACACTTCCTTTTTTACAATGAAAAATTATATATAGTATGGCAATGCTGACTCATGTGGAAAAGATTTAGTCTTCTCAGAGAACACTTCATAGTTTTCTCTCACTTCCAAGCTTCAGTTCAGTACTATTAATTTTAACAAGGAATATCTTAACCTCCTATTTAAAAACTCCCAAATAAAAAAACAACTCTAAATATGCTGTTATGGTTTGAAATATAGCTTTCCATCACATATTTTTATACTTGTGACTTATAATTTTGCATCTCAAAAGCTAATTCACGGTTTTGAAATTTCTAGAACTAAAAAACGCAGTCTACTTTAAGTACTAAGGAGCTGGTTTCTTACACTAGGAATTTAGTTGTCAGCGCTAGTAGGTCTAGGAATCACTCTCCACCAGCAGCAGCACTGCGATCCGCTGACAGCACACGGAGGTGGCCTCCCAAGCCATAAAAGAACATCTCATACTTCGCACTCTACCACAGATTTAGACACTGAGCATTTATTTGTAAGTTTGGAACTGGTTCTGTAATTCCAACTGTTACGAATTTCTAAAGATAAATAGTTTATGTTTTTCTTCATTCATGCTGGATTGAGTTATAAATTAAATACAATTAAATTACATTGAATCGCCTCACAAATAAGAGGGATAATGGAAAGGTTTTGCTGGTATGTAACTACTTAATCTGAGACATTTCACATTACCTGGCCCACTATTCCCCTAACTTTACATTAGTTTTAAGGCTATATATACAAATATGTATATTTCCAAGTTAGGGAAAAAAACAAATATAACAAAACTGATTATACTACTTTTTATACACAGTTTCGATTTCGTGTTCAATGTTGTACTGTAATCTTACATGTTAATAGTTTTCTAGTGGGGAATCTGCCTACTGAATGATTAAATTACACGGCAATAAATACAATATCCAACCTAGACAGACAAAAATACAGAAGGGCACAAAACAGTAGTCTTTTCTGCGTGACAGATTTAAAAACTTACTTTCACATGCTTAACCAAAGGAATTTAAGCCTAAATTAAATTAGGTTATTTTTATATCTACAATTCTTTAAGCTTTGAAAGTTATTTTTAAAGGCCAACAGCTAAGTATTAGCAACATGCTATATTTCAAATCACAAATACATCTTAACTACTTGGATTCTAAAGACATGGGCCAGTTAAGAATCACAGGCAAACACACTCTCTCTCTCTCTCACACACACACACACACACACACCCCCACTAGAGTGTTAGATTGTCAAGCTCTGACAACTATTTTAATTAAACAGTAGGCAAATTCAAGCTGATCCACATCTTAATGAAAAATAAGCAGCCAGAAAGAAATCCATTAAAAAACACATTAAGAAACAACCACAGACTTAAATCTTGTAGTTTTTGTAACGGAAGGGAAACAGTTCCATCCGTGCCTTGAGTAACAGTATTTCCCAATTAAAAGAGACTAACATCTTTCCCCATGAGAAACTTCTCATTTACAATGGCATGGTGTTTTAAAAGGGCAGGGTAAAGGAGGAATTACACATACATGATTAAATTTCTTGTTTGTTAAATCAAGCTTTATTGATAAAATGGAATTCAGAATACCTTACTAGGAACAGCAGCAGGCCCAGCCAATCATGATAGCAAAAATGTGGCAGTCTCCTACTAGGTGTAGGAAGCTGCTGCTTATCAATTAGTAATTCAACGTAAGGACTTTTAAAAGAGGTGCAAAGAATCAAGGCATTTTAGCCCCAAGATTGATATTCTTATGAATATACTTATTACCTGCAATACTCCTGGCAATAAGGCGAGAACAACCTAAAAGACAGTTAAATGAAGGGACCAGCTTATCAACAGTGCCAACCCCACTGCCAAGACAGTTTTCGGTTAACTCCCTGGATGTTCGGCTTTGTAGGATTTGGAATTCTTCTCCATAATCGTGTGCACATTTGAGCATCTAGCTGACATGGCTGCTGCTCTCCCTGTCCCGACCCCAAGTCCAAACACAACATGACTTGAAAGGACTATGTATCTGTTGCATCACACAACAAACCAAACATTTTTTGCAACTTTGATAGTGATTTAAAGCAGTTCATAATTAAATATGAGCATTTTGTACAAGGACAATTACACTTTACAAAAAACAAAATCATACAACAAAAATTGCTGGAGTCTGATTTACAACATGAATTATGGTTTGAAATCACGTTTACGTAAGTCTCAAATTTACAAAAAAAAAAAAAAAAAAAAAAAAAATCAGTCCTGGGCTAGCTGTTGTACTGCTGAGTTCTCCGGTGTGATCCATTCTCACCCACGTCATACGTCCTTCTTTAAAGTTGAGGATGGATGTTTAAAAGGTTCAAGGAAGTTGAGCTGTACTCTCCTTTGGAGGTGAAGGTAAACTCCATGGCTAAATGAGCAGTTTTACCACATGTCATCAGTTGATGTAGAGTCCTTTATAAAAGGAAACAGAGCAGAACAAGGAACTACATTAAAGCTGAAAGGTGCCAAAATACATTACTTTCCGGATAATGCAGAAAGGTAAACTTTTGTAAAAGTTCACATTTAGACTGCAAGTGCTTTTTAAAGTGTGTGTGTGTGTGTGTGTGTGTGTGTGTATGAAATATCAGTATTCAATCTGCTCAAAAAACTGTTAGCCCTTTGTTTTGTTTTGGAATAAAATATTTCAAATACAATTTTACCATGAGGTTGACCAAATGTATTTCTAAACCAGTATAATTACTAAAAAAACATTTATTTTCTTCAGTTAAAACCCAATTTACCTCCAGAACACTACTTTATAAACTTGTACTACATAAGAGATTAAGGCTTCAAGTAACATGAGATTTGAGGAGGTGTCATAACGCAATTTCTATCTCAGAGCTGTGCCCAAATGATGGTAAGTTAGAACTGTTCTGTAAACACCACACTACAACTGAATTCTAACCCGGAAATTTAACTTGAGAATAGGACATTCTAATGTCTTTTTATAGTAGAATTCTCTACTTCAGCATTTAAATGAAGTATGTGTTTCAGGTTCTGAAAGTATTTCCAAACATAAAAACTACTTAGTGGAGCTGAGCATTCTGAAGTTCCATTGCAGCTGTTTATAAAACTCAGAATAATTCAAGATTCTGAGCAGAGGTATCATTTCCACCTTCCAAAAAATCACTTAGTGGAGGCAAACCTTCTGAAGCTGATTGCTTATAGAAGCTTTAAAAAACAGGAAGAATTCAAAAGGACTTTCTTTTCTGAGAGAAGTGGCCACTCACCATGATTATGTCCCCAGTCACTAGAACTGTGGTGCAGCCAGAACTCAGAGCAATCGATCAGGGGTATGTGTAAGAGAATGGGTGCAGTGAACAGCTCTGCAGAAACAGGTAGGAAGGATATGCATTTAGAGTGGAGGGAAAGGGAAAGCAGACACAGCCAAAATGTTACTTACAGTGTCATCATTTTTGTAAGGATTCAGTCTATTGTAAACGGCTTCAATTACATTCCGCCTAAATTAAAAAAAAAAATGCAGAAAGTTAATTCTTTAGAACACAGAACTTTAATAATTCAAAGTTAGGTGCTCATTAAAATGTCAAAGATAATCTTATACTTAGAATTATTTTAATTCTATTTCTCACTGTCAATAGGTATCCTCACTTTATTATATATAATAAATTATTATAAGGTATTTGAGACCCAGTGTTAAACTAGAGGTGAATTTACTCTAAAATATAACATTCTACCAGCCCAATTAATAGACTAAAAGTCATGGTTAAAAAAAAAAAAATCAGTCTATATATGGTCTACTTCATTTGAACTGGCTTATGTGGTTATGAGTCAGCAATGATGATGCAGTTTTAAGATCTAATACTATACTCTTCTTAAGAACTGAATGTTAGTTTTGAAGTAGAAGTTTGTTTCAACAGCTGTTGTGGTAAAATAATTTAGATAAATTTTACATTTAAATTTGTTTTTTTGTAATGCCCCCTTTAAAAAACTCTATTAAAGCTAAAATGTCAAATATGACATTTCCCTGCCAAGTCTAGGACATTCTGAATAACATTTTATTAAAACAATCTGTAGTGGTATTTGTAAGTTATAGCCTCCCCTACTTCCAAAATAGATTTGAAGCAATTTCATAGACCGTCATTTCACAGAAGGTCATACTGATGAAAAGATTTCCAAGAAATAAAACCTTCAAATAGGAATTTTAACAATTACTAGAGAAATGATTATAAAGAACATAGTAGGGAATCAAGGAAATTGTCAATATTATCTTTGTAGGTCCATTATATGGATATCAGAGGTAAAAATGTTTGAATTATAAAATTTTTTTTTGAATTATAAAATTTCTTAAAGTCTCCACTTTAGTTTATAAAGATGTAAAGCTTAATATCTGACAAAAATTAGTCCAGTTCTATGAACTGAAATGCACACATAAAAAGGCAACAAATGCATCCCCCTATTGTCCCTCATAACAAAATCCAACCAACCAGGAATCAACAACCAAAAACACTGGGAAAATCAGAGATGTAGAAAAATGGCCTAGATGGAGGAAGAGAAAGATGCTCATCCCCGGGGTACTCAATTTGACTGACAAAATCAAATTAAAATCATAGCAATTAAAAACAACAATCAGAATTTTGTAGTGCTGCGTAATTTAGCTTCAAAAATTGTTTCATTGTGTTAATTTACTTATCCTATAACCCAAGCCTTCGCTAAAGACAGCCTTCAGTGTAATGAGTGACATTCTGACACCTATTCTAAATGTGCATCATGTATCATTAATAGTGAAAAACATTGAACCACAGGCTAAACATTTTGAAAACATTAAACATTTTGAAAACATTAGAAATTAGGTAAGTACACATCTGATCAATGAACACCTTACATTTTTATGTACTGAGATAAATTATTAAGAGTACTCAGAATGTAACTTACTTGCTTGCCAATTCACCCCCTGGTGGGAGGCTGGGGATGTTCTCACTTGCTAATGTGCGCATCACATGGACTAAGTCAGGGACGCCTTCCCCCTGCTTCTTTATGATTTCTGGGGATCAGAAGTACTTTTTTTGTAAGTGTTGTCCAAATTTAATTAAAAAAAAAAAAAACTGAAACAAAGATAACTTAGGTTTTTAAAGATGGCATTTACCACATCTGAGATTTTCTAAGCTGGTATTAGAAAAATAAATCAAGTTGACCTTTGAAAATTTATGACAAAGGGAAGCAAAAAATGATACAACAAATGAGATACTTTCCAGATTAACTTCAAAGAATGAAAATAAACAGGATAAAAATGTGAAAAAAATTTCATATTAAAATCAATGTATTTATTACATGATCAAGGATATGGGTATACAAATGAGAATATTCTTAAAATGCCAAACTAGTTACTTTTGAGGAGGTCAACTCCTCTCTTTAGACTAGAAAGAAACATGTTTCCTGAATTTTGCACAGATTAAAAAAAAATAACAATTTCAAAATTTGAATGGAAAAAAAAAAACTCCTTTAAGTATAAGGGAATTTTTTGATTATATACTAACCAAATCATTTTTACGTATGTTTATATTCGCAAAGTGATACTTAAGTATCATGTGCAGGTTAGGTTATATAACTGAATACCATTCACAGCTTAATTTTTGTCTGAAATATCTTTAACAGTGAATAGATACGTAACACTTAAAATTAATTTCAAAACATCCAGTTATTAAATGGGGATAGTGATATGATCTGCAGTGTTGCCACAGAGATGCATACTGTCATTCATACCACAGAACACCAACAATTATGTACAACCAACTTAAAGAATTCTCAAACTGTCAAGTATAAGAAGTCTTTACTTGGAGTTTTAGCATATTTCTTCTAAATGCAAGATCATAACAAAGGTATTTGTAATTTAAAAGTTCAAGTTTTGCTCAATTATCTGTTTTTAAGCGTTTATACTAAGAAATTCTCTTTGTCATCATTAGGGCAAGAAAATTATCATTCTAGCTTTCAAATTGTAAATACCTTTGAAAATTACAATGCATATAAAGATCTTCCATCCTTCGATCAAGTCTCAAAATATCAATTCCTCATTAAAGCCACATATTAAAAGACAGACAGTGCTACCCATATTTCTTTAAATGGCTCAAATTGTCCTTTTGGAATTAAGGCCGAATTTTACCATGATTTTTTTTTTTTTTTTTTTTGGTATTTAAAAAAAAAAAAAAACAGTCTTAAATCGAACAAAAAGCAAGGATCTCAGATTTGGTTTGCCAAGTTCCTTTATTGTATAATCTTTAACATCTAGAATTCTACATGGTTCTAATGCTGGAAATCTGCTGTACAAAAATAAAGGGTTTTGATGTTTACCTAAGCTGCACAATTTCACAATCTAAAGCTGTAATACACTTAACATACAGTCTCTGCTAAGCCAATACAATTATTGGATAGATAACTAAATACAACAGAAATGAACACTGATGAGAAATTTAATCAATGAGAGTATCAGGTCTAAAAAACATTACCTTGATTCATCTATATTTGATGTATCTTACATCTCCTTTATTAAAATATATATTAGGGTATTTTAATTGTGAAGAAAATTACAGGAAGACAAACTCTTTAAAAAAAATTAATGTAAGGCTTTAAAAACAGTTAATATCTCTTATTCCACACGGGACAATACATTTAAACTGTCTTACCATTAACACTATACTAGCATTGCTTCTTCTGCTTTTAAAAAGGAAAACAAGATGAATTTTATGAAATACTTCTTTAATTGCTCTTGGACTATACAATAATTAGAACTGTAAAAAGACTGAATGCTTTTACTAAAGAATATATGTATAGAAGATCTGTTTCCCATACTCACATATAAACACATTCTGCTCTTCCCTACTCCCCTCCACACCGCGTCTGAGGGATCCTATCAGTTATCTCCAAATTAGCAACTTTAAAGCTTGGGTAGTCAACAGAAAAGATTTTAAAAGTATATATGTACAGGTACAATCTTAAATTGGCTTAGATGGACCACAACCTTAAGTGATATAGTTTAAATTATGAGCTGTGTCTTTTTATCACAACCCTAGAGAGTCAAGTATTTTGAAGGGCACAGGTAATAGGAGAGCTAAAAAGGCTTTCCTCTTTTCTGTGGCATGGACAGAGAAGCCAGAAGTATTCAAAGCAAATAAAAGGAGGTTTAGTAGGTCACAGCAATTTTGAAGCCAGGTATTTAAACAAATAAAGAAAAAAAGAAAGAAAGAAATGTTCAGTGCCTGTTCTGGAAGCTGAATGTAGTATTTTTTACTTAGAACAACTTTTGCAATGTAAATAGTTACATTCTATGTTTTAAAATACAGTAGCATTTTAATTAACGTAGTATTTATTTTCTAGTTGCAGTCTTATCAAACCTACCTCAATAAAGAATATGAAATTTGATTTGTGACATAATAATCTCAGATTGAATGATACAAGTATAATATTTCAACATATCAAAAATATTGAGATTGATGTAAACTCTGTTCAGGTAGCAATTCTTCCTTGATAAAAAGCAATATAAAACTAATATTGTAACATAAAATTATGTATCTAAAGCAATTATTTAGAATTGCACCAAAAACTTAAAGAGTGTACACTAAAGAGAAAAGCTGTATTTCTAAAATGTGATCCTGTTTCATAGTAAATAAAACTACTTATTCATTAAATCAATAAGAAAACATATACCCAAGTTACTTTTTTTTTTAAACCCATTACTTGAAAGTGCCAATAAACCACATACCAATTTATCCCAATACATATTCTTACTGTTTCATTTTTCGACTAGCCAGCAGTCTGAACCAATGTGATATGACTTGGTAGCATTCTAAATATTTTACTGTATTATAAATAAATATCAAAATGATTTTTTTTAAATATAAAAATTCCAAGAGCCTTGGGTAATAGTGAGAAAACAAACTTAGTAGATAGTATGTCCAATGAGTGAAATACTAAACAGTTCATACGCATACTAGATATATCACTATCAAGTGGGGGAGAGCAATAAAAACAAAATAGCAGCTCTAGATAGTACTGAAAGTCAAAACCAATCATGATTCTAATAGCAGACTGATTATAATTGATATCAAACAGTAAAAAGGGAGAAAACAAAATTAAAGTGCATATTAATTTTAATAATGCAGGCACAGCAGGATATAATAGTGTGTAGGTCAATGCTTACATGCTATTAGATCTTTAACGTGCAAATTCATGACATTAGGAGCCCAAAATGCATTTTAACGCTATCATAGGCATGTCAAGTTTTTCTGCTTAAAAGAAACTGCATCATCTACAAGCTTATTGCATATATGCAGCCAAATGGAATCTCTGGGGAGACTCAGCATTTAAAGCAGTAGCTTCGTAAAAGGTCGGTTATATTTTTTCAAATATTTAAAGGCATTACACTTGAGAGTTACAAACATCTTTCTAGTTGTCTCAAAGTAATTTGCAGAATTATGACAAATATATTCCTGAAATTCCCAACTTATTTCTTGCTTTTATTCAGCATTTGTATTTCTGCCAAGTAGAAACCTAATGTATCTTCTATTCAGGTCTACGTTGTCTTGGTGAGGAAGTTTATGGCTTAGTCAAGAAGCCTTGAAAACCGTTTAAATAAATTTTTAAAACTGTGGCACATGGAAGTTCCTAATACCCAGGCTGTAATCTTCAAGTTATTAAAAAAAAATCCTAAAGACCTTAAATTCATACACATAGCTTTACACAGAAAGATGGTATTCATATTATCACCATCATAAATAAACTATTTATAATTGAATAAACCACAAATCAGACTTTCCTGGCATAAAACTACACATGCCAGTGAATTCATCGAGAATTTTAAAGCATACAACAGTTTTTAGCCTTTTTAAACAAAAGTATCCTGAAAAGAATGTACAGGGTCACACTAGTTCTTATTTCTAATATAACTGTAATAGGACAATCAAAAACATCTGAACAGTTACTACAGAAATGCCCTTTCCCACTTTTGTACACTAAACACTAGATGTCAAAGGCATGTAAAGACCTAAAAACTAAAATACTAAAGTTTGATTGTGTTGAGGTTTTTCTTTAATAAAGCTACTTATTTTTTGTTAAATGATCCACCTTCTACTCTGCTTTCCAGGTACTTGTCCAATTCTGCCTCCTTCTTCACTGCTTCTGGTGATACTTTGGGTGCATTTGGAAAACAGATCAATATCACACTCATGTTGTCTCGACTTCCCTGGGAAGAAAAAAGTTGGAGAAATATTATGCTTTCTTCTTGCTCTTTAAAGCCTTGAAAACTTTTACAGCCATGACAATTTTAATTATACTTGTTCTAGTAATGACATATATATATATATATATATATATATATATATATATATACACATATATATGTATGTATATGTGTGTGTGTGTGTGTGTGTATATGTTGTTTTTAAGGAGGAAAAAATATGCATATGTGGAGAGGCACCCCCCACCCCCAAACACATACAGTGTATATGGTATACAGTATAACCAACACTCCAAAAGATAGAAGTACTACATGAATAAAAAAAATTAAAAAAAAACATAAAAAAATAAAATGATTGTTACAAATGATTGTAACAATCATTTTATTTTTAAATGCTCTAAAACAAAAATACTACCAAACATTTACTGGTGGCCTACTTAATTTGAAGATACCTAACACAAATACACACACACACACACACACACACTCTCACTCAATCAACAAAACAGAAAATTCCAGAGGATCTGACCTATCGTTACATGTATACTCAACAAATTTATATTTAAAATAAATTTGGAAGCCAATTAATTTGCTTCATAATAAATATAAATATGGAATTAGTAGTAAAACTAAATATATATAATTTAAAAACCAGTTTTTTAACTTTCATAATTAAAAAAATGGCTTAATTTTTAGGAAGTACATTCATTTTCAAAGACATCTATTCAAAATGCTGTAATTAAAATACTTGAATCAATGTTAGCCTCCTCATATTTCCCTCCCTATTAGGAATTAGAGTTAACTTTTACATATTATGTATTTGATTCCTCAAAATGGGAAAACTGACCTTATACCGTAATAAGTTTAAGCAAACCATACAAAGAATTTAATATCAAAAAGAATCTTGGAGAAAAACAGTATAAAATGTGGCAAGTGATAGGGTACTGAATAATTTTTTTAAATGGAGAATGTAGACAAGATAAAGTATTAGCTGAGTCAAAACTGACTAGTGTCTGAACGTGACAACTCTCTCCAAGAAAACAGCTTTTAATCTAGCCAACAACTATTTAGTTCTCAAGAGCTACAGAATAAGGCCAATAAACAGATACTACTTTTATGCGCACTAAAAGGGACAAAAAGCACAGGCACCACTGTTCAGCTCTCCTCAAATTCAGCAATCAATAGTTTGCACTATTAAGTCCTTGCTCTATTGGTTTTTTTAAACCTATGTGCTGGATGTTACATAAACTTGATTTGTTACATAAACCTGATTTCTAAGTATGATCAGATTTTTAATTAAGATTTTAAGTAGAGCTGGCAGTATGCTTATAACACTACAAAGAACAGTAAGATGACTTTCTATTTCTGCACGTTGAGAGAAAAATCAAATATGCAGTCTCAGAAGAGTTTTACAAAATCAACATTTGTTAGAGGAAAAGAAAGAAAATCAAAGAACAAGTTAATGAACAGTACGGACAAAAAATTTAATTTCTCAGTAGTCCTGTGAGTTAGCTACTATTAGCTCCATTCAATAGCTGAGAGAGGTCAAACAATTTGTCTGAGACTGTGGAGTACAAAAGAGACAGAGGTAAGCCTGACTCAAGGCCGGCCTCTGCAGTCTGCTTCCTCTTGCTTCAGCTTCCACATCTGTAAGATAAAGGGGCTGAGCTGGCTCATCTACGTACATGACCCCTTTGATCATCCCAACAACCCCATGAGACAGGGGGATAACATCTCTTACCTTTTTTACAGTTACAGAAACTGATTTTCCAGACAGCTTAAATAGCTTACCTGAAGTCATACTCAGTCTCATACCAAGTTCTTCTGATTCCACGTTCAAGGCTATTTTTATTACATCAAACCAAGTGATCACTAAATCTCTTTGTTGCTGCTACAGATTGATTAGACTATAGTCTCAAAGTACTTCCATGAATGTATGGTGATATCATATGATAAAAATAAAATATTAAAATTCTAAAATGCTTTTCATTTATTAGACACAAAGGCCTAACCCTCCCCCATGCCTTTCCTTTTAAGACATGCACTCTGATATAGTCTTTCTGCCTTTGATAATCTCCCACAATATTAAAAAGCTGAGGTAGTCATGGTTACTAAAAGACCATTTAGATTATAATTCTTGCATATTGGGTAATTTCTTTCTTTAAAAAAGTCCCTAAATTTTCATGATTGGTAAAGAGTATCCTACAACTTTGTGCCAAGAATTTATTTCTGAGAACTAGTTTCTATAATGATTAAATACTAGAGTAATAGTTAAGATGACATAAAACCATTTTTATCTCTTAAAAAAAAGTCTAACTACCTTATACAAACAGGTGTCGACTACTTCATTGCAAACTTTCTCAAGGTCATCAGTGACTTCAAGTCTGGATCTTACAAAATCACAGAGCTCTTCATTTCCCATAACATCCCAAATACCATCACATGCAAGGATAATGAACTGATCATCTTCTTCAGATCTTTCAATATCATGGACTTCAGGCTCTGGTGAGACAAGCTGCTCTGTAGGACCTTTTCCATGGACACATTTGTAATCAAAGTCCCCAAGGGCCCTCGATACAGCCAGAGAGCCATTCACACGCTGAATCATGACAGAACCACCTGCATTCTGAATTCGTTCTTTTTCCAGCGGATTACTTGGTTTGTGATCTTGTGTGAAGAAGTGAACTTTCCTGTTTCTACAAAGTAAACCTCTCGAGTCTCCACAGTTAATGAAATAAGTATGTTGAGGAGAAATTAAGACACCCACAGCTGTTGACCCACTTCTATCTGCACCATGTTTCTTCTCTGACATAACTCTCATGTGTTCATCAATCTCCAGAAAACCTGTTCTGATTCCATTCTTTACATTTTCCACAGAAGGTGCTCCTGCAGACCCTTTAAAATCCTGGTTATTGGTGATGTGATCTAACAAATGCTCACAGCAGTATTTGGCAACCTGAGAACCAGCATGCCCATCATACACAGCAAAGAATGACCATGTTTCAAGTCCACTTGGCAAACCGATCACAGCCGTATGTGCATCCTCCATTTCAACTCGCCAACCTTGCATGCTGCTTAGCCCATACCGCAACCCATTACCCTGCCCCTGGGCGTTATGTTTTTCCATCTTTGGCTTGTCTAAAAATGCTCCCATTATGTCGTGATATTCTAGGTCTGCAAAAGAAGAGAAACAGGAAAGTCAGTAACTATCTTATATACAAAATACAGATCCAACAATATTTTTAAGAGTGAAGAAGAGACAAAGAAAGCTTTAAATAAGAAGTCACAACTCTCATAAGCAGACACTCCTTGTGTTGCTGACTTGGAACCTAGAGATTAATAAGAAAGAACTGGAGAAGAGGCTGATCAGGCAGAGGTTAGAATGAACAACAGGCAGAGAGAACTAAAGCATCAGAATAAAAGTAGCTGACCTGACACTCCCCCACCAGGCACAACGACCTGAGGCAGAAAGGAGACTGGCAGTGGTCATCAGCTTACATGAACCAGGCCAAGTGTTTCAAGATGCAATGAGTATGTGAATCTCTTAGGGAATCTCAGACCTAAATTATATGTGTATGTTAATCCAGAAAAAGCCCAATGAATTCATAACATACCAAAAGCCTACTAATTCAAACATCTTGGTTGAACATTCAGGATTTTCCAGTTTCATTCTGAACTACCTAGAGTTTTATTGCTACTACATGAACCCTCTGAAAAAGTAAAAAATGACCTACTCACAATGATCCAAATTTACACACTCATTCCTTTAAGCCTTTGCTCATGTCAGTCCGCTTAACTGGAATCCCCTGTCCCTCCTCCCTACTTACAGAAAAATGTATATCCATCCTTTAAAGTCTAGTTCAAATTCTACCTTCTCCACAGGTTTTTTTTTGTCTCTGACAAAGCCATTAAGTTATTAAATTATCAAAAGGAGTACAACCTCAATTATCAAGTTGTAAAGCAATTATACATAAATACAACAGTGCTTATTACATAAAACAAAACCAGCCTATTGTGATCTACTGATGCCCTATTACTTTAGCAGTTATAACATGTATATTTATTATTAGTATATGCTATGACCATTAGGTGTTAATAGTAAAGGAGACTAGAGGGCCTAGAAACAGCCATGTGGACAAGGATTAGCTAATGTAATCCTTTCCCAATAATCAAAAGCTAAAAACTCTGGTCTGAAATGGGCCCACACAACACAGGGGGACAGTTGGTTAGAACTTAGGTTGACCTTTACTTGAGCAATAGCCTAGGAATGTAGAGACGTGGGGTACAAATCATCAAATAAGTCACAACTGAACTCAAACCAAACTGAAAGAAGGCTAGAATTAAATTTGATGGAGGTAAAGTGGGGAGGCAAAATACGGCTTAGGTCAAAATACCTAGGTAAATCAGGATGCAGTTATGAAACTAAGGGATTGATGATGCTAGTGAGGCTAAGCTTTGAGAAGAAGTTGGGAGAGAAAAGGTTAAGAAAAACTCCTTAGGAAGGTCACAGTGTCCCAGTAGCCTTTCCCCCCCTTCTTCTCCTACCAGGGCCAAACCTATAGACAGGAGAGAAGTCTGTCTGATTAGTGTGATAAAACAATCTTCCGCCTACTCCTCTGTCCCCTATTACAATTCCACTAATGAAGGTAAATAAGGAAAACTAGTCATCATTTACTCCTTATGGCAGTATTCATCAGATTACCAGATACCAAGTTGATATACATTATTATGACAAGAGTGCTTTGACTGGACAAAGGAATAACATAATGATAGTAACTTAATAGCAGACAATGTTTAATAAGTCTGTATCATTCATTCTGAACAACCCTCTAAAGTGAGTAATAATATCTTCAATTTGTAGATGAATCTCAGTGAGACTAAACAATGGCCAAGGTAACTCAACTGATAAATTTAGAGGAATCAAGACTCTAATTCAAGCCTCTCTGAATCTAAAGCACCATTTACTAAGGCAATGGTCTTGATCATGGATATACAAAAGGATTATTTATGGACTTTTTGAAAAACTACAATTAACAAATCAGAATTTCCAAGGTAGGGTTGGAACCAAGGCACCTGCATATCTGTAAAAAAGATTAGATGAGATGCCTAGATAAGTACATCCAGATGGCTAGATGATGACTGAGCCATTGTGAAGTCATCTGCTGAAGGTCAACAGCAATTTGCCTCATCTCTGTACCTCAATTCCTTTAGCTAGGCTAAAGGGAAGGAGAGAGATATAGTTAAGATGCGTGATAATCTAGCATTCCTTGTCTGTACAACGAACATATTTATACTTACCTCTGAATGTTGCTTCAAGATTTAAATGAGGTAGGCAAAAATAAGGTATTCAGTGAACTATTTAATTATTACTACATTCCTACATATATAGTTACATTAGATTCTGGTATTATCTAACAGGGAATTTACTTTCTTTTGCAGAAAAGCCCAGTAGCTATTTTCCAGATGTACATATAAAACTACCAAATAAATAATTATTTGAAGACAGGGTAAAATTTCTAAAAACAAAACCCAAACTTTTGAAAAATATGTATTAGAGATGTGAAAATGTAACAAACCAAGCCAGCCATCTGATAAAATTTTAGGTCCAGCCCATAGCAAATACAAAAATATACATCAAAGACAAATTAGTAATTTAGTGGTTGGACTTTCACATAGTGAAAATAGACAATTCAGAAATCTTACCTCCTGGGATTCTGAGTAATTTGTAGAATCCTAGTGAAGCAGCCAACAATAGCTACATAAATACAGCAGATGGTTATGTAAATATAATACCAGAAACTACTTACTTATAAATACTATGTTTACATAGTCATCGTCCAGAAGTGGACTACTAATTATGTAGTCAAATTATTAAATTGGCATCTATCTATAAATAGTAAATCCCAAGGGGTTTAATTTGCCCAAGAAAGCTTAATCTAGTTTCTGAGAGAAATTCTAGTTCTTGCATTGTCTAAAATCTCCTCTGAGCACATGCTGGATGGATCTCACCACAACACTAGCTTATCAGTTGATCTGAACTTTTCAAAACAAAATACTATGACAATCACAAGACTGAACTCCTCTTTGATATAACCAGAAATTTTGGTGAATACTTTTTGTCTTTGAAAACCAAACTAACTCCTAAATTGAAAAATTCTAAGGCTGGGCCGGGAAGTCATTCATTAAAATTCAGCCATTGGCTTTTATTAAGCAAAATTGATCTCATAATCCTAGCAGAAAGTCTTAAACCTGTTATTTGGTTTAATCTGCTTATAAATCCCCCCAATAAAAGATCTATATATTCAACAAATTAGCCCAGAAATAAGAGTTACTCAAGTGACAGTTTGAGCAGTCTCCTAGTAAAAAAAAAAAAAAAAAAACGGAGGAATAAAAACATGTAAAGCTTTTTTCTGTTTACCTATGGGGACACAAGCTAATACAGAACTCCTCCAGGGTCCACAAACAGAGGACAAAATAAGACATGTAAACAATGTGGAGAAATTATATTTTAAAGATTAGGGATAATTGGGGGGGGACTATATAAAAGAGAGACTAGGGGCTCCTTGGGAAAGGGGTAAATGGAACAATACACAACAGTGTACACAATATGGCAAATTCAAGTCATCTGCAGTGGGATGTGAGATGTAAACTCTCCACTGCTACCAAATATTTAGCGTATTCTACACTGTCTACTAATGCTTATATGTGAATAGACTTTGTCAAACATGAAGACAAATGTTCACCTGACCTCTAAAATGCACATTTACTGAACGATAGGATTTGTAAGTTTTTTTTTTTTTTTTTAAGATCTGTTTATTTGGTACAGAGAGCGAGCTAGCAAGAGAGACAGCTAGCAAGAGAGCACAAGCAGAGGGAGAAGCAGGCTCCCTGCCAAGCAAGGAGCCCCATGTGGGCTGGAGTCCTGGGATCACGTCCTGAGCTGAAGGCAGACTGACTGAGCCACCCAGGTGCCCCCTGAATGACAGGATTTAACCAATATACTGCAAAGCTGGGGTTCAGTGAAGAAACACAGACCCCTTGTGGCTGAATCTCTGCAAAGGATAATTTAGAATACACAAACTACTTTTGACTTCCCAAGCTTTAAGACATGGTAATTCATAAATTGTATTTTGTAATCCAAGGCAGCCACATCATAGTTATTTATGGTAATGACAAATAAGTGCATCGACAAAACTTTATACCAATTTGAGAAAGGAAAAAGGCTAATCTTTGGGTAATTTTTCTCTCATTTGAGTCCGAAATTTCTCATTGACCTTTATTTAAAAAAAAAAAAAAAAATGATTATACAGGGGTACCTGGGTGGAGCAACTGGTGAAGCATCGGACTCGATTTCAGCTCAGGTCATGATCTCAGGGTCCTGACTGAGCCCTGCGCTTAAGACGCTCTCTCTCCCTCTCACCTTGCCCTCCTCTCTCTCTTAAAAAAAGAAAAAAAAAAAATTACACGTATTTATATTTACAAATTTAATTTTGATTAACTTGTAAAACACATCAGAGCCAAAATGTAGAAATGGTCTGTCTAAATCTATTTTACAAATGAGAAAGCACACATTTGCTGAAGGTCACAAAGCTGGTTCTACAGTAAAAGCTGAGAATAGGAACCCATGTTTCTGGAACTTTACTGCAATTCTATAAATCCTGTCCTGTGTACTAACTTGCAAATGAAGTTAACGGGAATCTAAAAACAGGCTTTTTAAAGGACACACATAAGTAGGGAAGATTGTCACAGAACAATGCTGAAACTCCCTTAAGTGCCCTTTTTTCCTCTGCCTACTCTAACTTGTTTTCTAAATTTCTATACTGCCAAAGATAAAGGATGAAAAAGAAGGAAAGGTAAAGAGAAAAGGGAAAAAAACAATAAATCTAAACTTTGTTTTTTTGTCTGGGACTGAGGGAAAACCAGAGTGAACACTTTCTGGCAAAGCTAATCTCAAATACTCAGGGGCTAAATAAAATGTAATAATGAGCAAAGAAAAATAAGAGGATATATTTTTAAAGGTTCAGAAGATATGGGGGAGAAGGGGACACATACCTCAATATTCATTATCTCCAAACTAGAAACAACCCATTAAGATACGAGATGACACTCAATGAATGAAACTACAGGCTGTCAACTTTAAGTAAGTAAGTAAATAAATAAAGGTGCTCTAAAAG